TTCACACGTGAAAATAACATGTTATTTTCACGTGTGAAGATATCAATTTTTCGAAATAGAGAAAAATAGATATTTCATTGGTAATTATATAATAAAAATATTTACGTTCAATCTCACTTGATACTCTACTCTCAATCATTGCAAGAAAAAAGGCTGAATTATTCGCAAGTGGTAAAAAAACTTATTAAATAACTACCTGCCTACATCTTTTCCGAAAAAAAAAACAACACTCAAAATAACTTTTTGGTATATTAATATTTAGAATTGCACACACTTACTCTTTAGACCTAACACATTTCACTTTCTAATGGTTCCTTTTTAACATGTAGGGGTAAAAAGAGTTCAAAACAACGGAAAGCTGCCTTTCGACAATGTTTTTTCCGGCTTGGTGAGATACGCTCTCTCCTTCCTGTGGGAGCACCCGTGTTGGCCCTGACTGCTACAGCAACAGAAGAAGTCAGGAGGGAAACTATTGAAGGGCTTGCTTTGAAACCTGATGTACACCAGATAGTTGTCAGTCCAGACCGGCCAAATATTTATCTTTATAAAGCTAAGGTAAATAAAAATTTGAAGTGCTTCGAATGGCTGATCTCTGCTCTAAAGAAGGATAACCTGGATACCCCAAAGACTATTGTGTATTGCAAGTCRCAAAAACAGTGTGGGCAGTTGTATAGACATTTCAAAATTGAACTTGGACCGAATGCCTATTATCCAGATGGTTCTAAGCAATTGTCAAAGAATTGTTTAATTGGAATGTACCATGCAAACACACTAAGCAAACACAAAGAAAGAGTTGCCGAAGCTTTTTTCGAATCAAGTGCAAACTGCAGAGTGATCTTTGCTACAACAGCACTTGGCATGGGGATCAATGTTCAAGATATACATCAAGTAATCCATTATGGTCCCCCCCCCCCGTGAAATGGATGACTTTGTGCAAGAAATTGGTAGAGCCGGTCGCAATGGAATGCCTGCCAAGTCCCTTTTGTTTTATACTGGTAGGCATTTGAGAAAGTGTAGTGAATCTATCAAAGATTATGTCAACAGCAATAACAGTTGTCTAAGAGAAATTTTGTTGAAGGAATTTGGAGAAAGTGCTTTTGGAGAAAGAAATCATAAATGTTGCACTATTTGTCATGTACAGTGTAATTGTGCTCAGACAGGATGTGCAGTTGAGCAGCTATCTTTCTCGAGCAGCTCTCCTCAGCAAATACCAAGAAAGAAAAGAAAGGTTACTAAAGGTCAAAAAGAAGAACTTAAAGAGTTATTAACTGACTATCAGAAGGACTTAGAGATGAGTAGCCCAGGCTACTTTCTCTCCTCTCAATCCACTACTGGTTTCTCAAATGCCCTTATCAAATCTGTTTTAAAGAACCTCAAGAACATCTTCTGTCTCAACGATATAATAGAACTCACTCCAGTTTACAAGAAGTCACATGCTGTTGACATTTTATTTATGATAAGGGATGTCTGTGAAGACTTTGATCTGGACATCAACACTGTACAAAACTTAGTTGAGGAGGAGCTGAACTTGGACATCGACTATGAATATGGAGGACATTACGAAGATGATGATGATAACAGTGGCACTGACACTGATTCGTCAGTGGATTCCTTGGATTCAAACATTTCAGGGCTAATGGAGCTTTAGGTACAAATAATAACTACATAATAACAGTGTGAATTCAAAAACCATGGGCTTCTGTTTATTCAAGAAAATGTGTGGGGGAAAATTTCTAGGAGCCCACAGTTTTTTGATCCCAACCTAATTATTATTATTGTAACTAGTTATGGCTATAGTGCTAATACTTAACCTATTGAACAGTACTAAAATTGCTGTTTAAACAAAAGAAATTTTTTTGTAGTAGCTATAAGTGCTGCTAAGCAATAAGGGCATATAAGAACTTTAGTTCTTTGTTCTTTGGAAGGATACAGACTTTTTTGACTCAGAATTTTTGCAATGATGTAGTTCAGTGTTTATATAAATAATTAGCTATTATCTAGTGCTGACTTGGGTTATATCATGCTATCCTGAAATATGATATTCTATTTATCGGAAAAAGAAGTTTAATTCAAATTTGGCATGTCTATATTATTAAAATTCCAGGGTTTCATAATTGATAAAGTTTGCCCTTACACTGAAGAAGATATGAATATTTGAAACCAAGTGTTTTCAAAGAAAAATGTATGCAGACAGGCATCGCATGCCTGATGAGCCTCATTATCAGGCTAAATATCACGAAATGTTTAGTTTAAAAAAAATATGGGTAAACTATTTATCAATTACAATGTATTTATGCTAACAACCTTAACGTTTCACCATACTAGAATTTACAATTAATGAAATTGAAATAAATCATTCCTCATCATAGGAATAAAATCAGTGCTGTCATAATTTAAATGATGGGTTCAAGCTTAAAAAATTCTTTCTTATGATGTGTTATCCACTTATTTAATAAGGTATAGTCAAGACCTGATATCAAGCTACTTCTAAAATTGGCCATAACTGTGTAACATCTTTCATTCGAAGGAGAGTTTTTAAAAACATCACCCTTAATTGCAAGTTCATTTACTAGTGTTTGGAAGTCAGCTTCAGATTTTCGGACTTTGTGATGCCCTTTTGGTCTTTTTACCTCAAGGTCATCATCAACTGATTCCAGTAGCCTTTCAACTGAACTGATAGCCTTACTGCATCTCCCAGCAGCACTTTCTGTCAAATTTGGGCCAAGGTGTTTAAGTAATCCTTTCAACAAGTGGTTGAGGTGTTCCAATCTAAGGTCTAGTGGGATATTTCTTCCAGGACCTCCATGATTATTCACACTTCGATTCCAAATCAAGCTGTGTGCAAGTCGAGGTGTCAACATAGCTTGGGTATATGCTTGGAGATTAAGAGCAGCAAGAGCATATTTCGTATGATTGTATGCTCTGTATATAAGCAATGCAAATTTCCAACATCTTATTATTCGCTCTCCGTCCCCTTCCTTAATTGCATCGTCAAAGTTTCTTAGAAACAAGCCCATACTGAGTCGTAACCTGGCATAATCAAAAACATCATCTTTCTCTTTGCTGGTAGATTTAGAATCAACTTGTTCCTTCGATTCCTCTGGGATAAATGTTGTTTCCCCCTCATAATCAGGATGTTCCTTTTTGACATGATTTTCTTTGGCCTTTAAGTATTTGTAAGGTTTGCCACATACAACACAATAAAACCAAGAGACTCTTCGAAGCTGATTGGCGGCTGCTATCGTGCTTCGAATATCTTCATATTGCAGCTGTTGGTCTGCCATGACGAATTTGTAAAGCATTTTTTCCATATGCTTGTGCAACCAAATTCTCCTTCTTTGCTTTGATGCATCAAGGATGTTGGGTGGGATAAAAGACTCAGCAGATGTTTTCAAGGAATCCATGTTAAAATATTTCATGGCTGCAGCTGTAATGTAAGCATCAGTCTCCAAGKTTACATAGTCCTTACAGTAGTTGAGGTTATCGAGTACATTGGTTGTCCTAGCATTCACATTGTTCACCACATTTAAGTTTGAGCACATTGTTCCAAGATCATTCCCAGAGCCAGGTTTATAAAATATATCATACAAAACCTGTTGATAAAGATGAAGAGGTCACATCAATTTAAAAGACAGTCAAATTTGAGAAATGGTTTGAATAAATGTGAAAATTAATGGATAATCGAAATAATAGTTTATTGTATAGTCATTTCTGATTGGCCAAAGAACAATCCTATAAGATTAAATTTGATCTTGCAGTATTTCCAATAAAAGTTTGAAGTCCCCCCCCCCCCCAAAAAAAACTTGCAATAAATGAAAACATAATTTTAAGTTTGAAGTGACTAAGTGAGTTTGTAAGGTTTTGGGATGGCAGAATAGAGATCATGAATTCATTTATTTTTTTGGTCTAAGTCTCTGATTTCCAGGGTTGTGTTGACTGAATTGCTTAATGAATATACATGTAATATAATATAACATAGTATACATAATTGTTTTTGTACCTGGTATAAGATCCTAACAGCATGCCAATCTTCTACTTTACTCAAAAAGCCTTCCAAGCGTTCATACTCAGTGTCTCCATCACATCGAGCGTCCTTTGAATGTCTAGCTCTTTCATCAGTCAACTCATCTCCTCCAAAAAATAGCTTTTGAATAACAGTTACTACTTCATCACCATCCTCAATGCTCTTGGTTATTGGTAGATAATTATTGTGTAGGTCTTGCAGGATGTCAATCATCTCCTCATTTATGTTTTCATTCTTAAAGAGCAGTCCAAGAGGAACCTAATTAAATTATATAATAATACATATTTATTAAATCAATGTTGCACCTCATTACTGATTGAATTATGGACTCTCCTTGAAACACTGGGTAAACTGTTTAAATGATACCGTGGTTCAATCAGGAAATTTTTTTGTTGTGATCACATCCCCCAAACTCTGAAATATATAATATGCCCAGTAGCAACCCAACTCCCTCCTTGCATGTCCACAAAAGAAAACTGTAAATAGATTTAATGATTGAAAATTCACAATACCTGTGTTGATGTCTTTGACATTTGCTCAGAGTATCTGTGTGGGATATGCCAAACAATTACATCCTTAAAATTCTTGAAAGCAGGTATCTTTGTAACTACTACTCTAGTGACCAGTGGAATCAAGTCATTAAGAAAATCCACATTTTCTTGGAATGATGGAAGGAAATCTACATTTTCAACATCTAGAATGGACTTGATTGGTGCACTGTTTGATAAGTGGTGCCCATGTACTCTGTTTAGAACCCCATTTAAGTGGAACCAATGAATACTATTGTTTTGGTTGGCACTTGACATGTGTTTCACTTTGACYACCAAGTCTACATTGTCTCCTATAATCTGATAGCCACTGGAGAGTTTAAGTTTTTCAAAGACTTTTTCTTTCTGAAAACCTTCATCATTAATGCGTTTTACAACATGAAGATAGGCATCGTTGCTAAATTCTCCATTTATCCTAGCTCTTACTTTTTCTACAATAGCTGAAGCATCGATACTGGAACATCTAGTAGTAGCTTGACTGGTTTGTAGCTGATCTGTAATGGGTAATGTAGTAGTAGCTTGACTGGTTTGTAGCTG